CAGTGTTGAATACAATTGATTACCCATCTCCAAAATTTGTACCAGGTCATCACAAGTATGTATTCCTTTTATCTTGTTATAAATCAAAGCAATCAAACTCATAGCAACACATTGTTTTCCAGCATTTTCAACAAAGTACTCGATATCACCTTGACTATATGGTGCCTTGATTGTTAGAGTAGGATCAATACCATATATAGGGGGCCCAGGATTATTTCAAAGTCATTACACAGATTCAGTGTAGCACAATGGCCTCTGTGGCTTGCATTCTTGTACACACTTATTAATGTATTACAGCTATACAAATATAGATATTTGCCCAAAGACTCTCGACAACTCGACGATTTTCGATTCAGTGTTGACCGAGTAGAATGCCATTTTTTTCTCATCTTCTGTACAAACTTGATACTGTCATTATTGCTCCTTGTTCTAAGTCTGCATTTGACGTAGCGATACATTTTTGACGAGACAGGAATGTTTTTAAGAATTCGCCTGCACACTAACTTCTTTATTTGTTTGTTTTTACGTGAGAACTTTTCTAGTTTTTTTAAAGGTCTTCTGCTGGGCTCACGATCGAATTGTCTTCGCACATGGTAATCACCATTGTTAATATTACAATGATTAACAAACATTGCATAACGAGACCTGAATTATTTTGCATATTTTATTTCTTTTGCAACATCATTTTGTTGTATACACAACGCTGATTCGCCACACTTTTGCTCTATACATGGCGCTACATTGTCCAATACATCATCACATTCGTTTGACACCACTTCGTTTGGTACCAAATAAACATTCCTGCTCTACAATATGCGAATATAGTATACGCACAAAAGCGACAAAACTAATGGAACAAATGGAAAAATAACAGCTGACAATGTACTCTGTTTGAGCAAAAACATAACGAATGCAAGCTTAATAATCACGATAGAAGTACATTAACATAACAATTACGTTTATCCTCACTCTGATGAAAGTCCAACATGGCATCTCTGTCGTCATTTCCTAGAGTTTGATAACGCGGCACCTTGTCTTTATCAACAAATGTTCTTCGGACGGTCACTCTGTCCACATTTTCTGTTCACTGATAACTCATTTGATTTCTGGTTTGATTCTAGTGAGACCTTCGCTAAATCATTTGATTCTTTTGCTATTTTGAGTTCGCGGAACGACCCGTTTCGAAATATACGCTCATTACACAAGCCATCTTTTAGAGTGGGTCTACCGCGAATGGTGTGTAGGTCTGTATGCTTGAGCGTAGAAACGATGACACCATTCGCTCAGATATTCGACAAATCCGCCATGTTCGACATGGTGGAAAGAGGGTTACGCCTCTATTACGTTTCTGCGGTATTCCCCATTGCACGTGACTGAGCTTTGTGGAGAAAACCGAGGGTAAACCTATAGTCGGTCGCCCGACTAATCAAGCTGACATGAGAGACAAAACATGATGAATTAAACTCGACCATCTTCGATTCACCGAGGGTTTAAAAATACGTACATCGCACACCAAAGGGTGACCCTACATTGCAAAGTGAAGACGAGATTTACATACCGATACGTCCTATAAGAAACTAAAAAACGCATTGATACTATAAGCCCCCATTTTCCCGTCATTTGAAGCCAACAGTTTATAGTCAATCATTTGGTTTTTTTTTCTGTGTGTGACATCATGTAAGGGCAAGGAAAGGGACAATACTCGCAAATGAAATCTTTATAGAGCTGAGCCAAGTATGGATGCCTCAAAGATTTTCCTGCTGGTTACTAATTTTATGATACCTTGTGCACTTTGTACGAAAAAAAAAAACCCATAGTCCCTTACTCTTATCTCAGGAAGACATCATATCCGGCGCGTCTATAAGGTACATTTGTTACTCACTTCCCTGATGTAACTCAAACGGGATGTTATGAAAATGACGCAGGTCCCAAAACACAGATAAGAATATTTTTACTCTGTATACAGAAAGACACTCAGAGTTTCCTATTTCAATCGCGGGGAAGTACCATATTCAGCATGCCTAAGTACTTTTGTTGTTCATTTCTTTGACGTAACTCAAACGGGACTATACGCACGTCACTGTGACGCACAGACGAGACTATTTCGTCGGACACGTGCAATTATGCCGTCGCCTTCTGATGGGATTTTTCCGATCAAGAGAAGGTAATAATTACTGGAAGGTTTAAAATTTTAATATTGTATGCGTCGCTATATATACATATAACCAGAAGGGCTCGATTTTAGCAAAGTTTCAAGGCCGAGACTGAGATTTTCGTACAGCATCGACGATCTTCCCCGGTTAGACAAAGACGTCAGTTTTTGTTGGAGCTGTAAACTCAAATATGCAAGGAATCAAGTCGTACAGGTTGGACTGAAGCAGAACCTAAGTTGCAGACCAAATTTTCCAATTTTCCGTAATCTCAAATGAAAAAAAATTGCCTTGCAAAGCAGGTCAGATTAGGATATCAGCATGTAACAAACCATTGCGTGCTATGACAAAATAAACCTGAAATGTCAGTAGAGTGAGTCGAATTACTTCCAACTGTGTAACAGCACGCGTTGTCTTCCAAAATCTGGATCAATAAAAGATTATCAATCGCCTAAAATGGATATCAACCAGCAGTTATATCATCGTTGTTGACCTTTGATCAACTATGATGATCTGACGGTCTCTGGATAGTTAAAAATACTCGTCCATTAAATAAGACAGCTTGACCCAGTATGTCACGATGTTTTTCCATGAAAACTTTTTAACATTTTGTATATATTTTGTGCCTTTCCACAAAAAGAAGATATCTAAAATTGGGAAAGAAAATCAAGCGAATTCCCCTATTTCTCCCTCAGGGAAAAACCTTGCTCGTCGTTTCTAAGAACTTTTGGTATTCATTTCCTTGGGGTAGCTCAATCTTGATGTCACGAAAGTGACGCAGATAACAACGCACACCGTGAATAGCATCTCCGCTGGTATGTAAACTGTGATGCAAAGAGCTTCACTTGAAATACCTAAGGGAACTGTGTGAGCAGGTAATAATTACCGAAGAAGTTAAGATATGGTAGATGTATACGGTATATCATTCCACAGTTCACAAAAGAGGCATGACTTTAACAGATTGCAGGTTTAAACAGTTCCTTTTTTTTAGCACTCAAAATTTGATCCGGCCATATTAGGCCTTGAATTCTTACCGAAGCAGTTTAAACTGACCTTATCCCGTGGGCAAAACTCTCTCGGTTTCCGCAATCTCAATTGACAAAAAGATGCTGTGCGAAGCAGGTCACGCTGTGATAATTAAAACATACTATTAACAACTAATCCGACCTGACATGTCACCAGAGCGAAGATGAATTACGTAGATGTGCGTAGTAACATGCACGTAAGGATAATCAGTTCCCTCAATTTGATACAAATGAGCGGTAATACCATGATTGTTAGTAAAATATTCTTTCAGTGCCCTTAATTACATATGTTTTCCCACTTAAGCTAAATTTGCTGATACATCGTTTCGTGCAACATGCACGTACTGTCATTGCGTGAGCGCTTGAAATATCTTGACCTTTCCGATTCCAATGTACTGATACGTCATTTGTAACGATTACACAAGCGAAGTCATTTGTTGAACGAGTATGGACCTTCAGCAAAATTTCTAAACAAGAATCTCTTATCAGATAAGCAGAATAAAAGCGTTTCTGAGGTATACCATGGTTGTCATAGTCGACGGAAAGTTAGAAACAAAATTCGTCGACGGACTTGATAAGAGGCCCAAATGCCCGATCTGCAAAAGCATTTCCGATGAGCCCTAGCGGACATCGCTTTTGCAGAAACTGTCTGGAACTCCTTTCTGGGTATGTATAAAGTCTATTCTTTAACTGCATAACTCTCTTCCGCCGAAAATTAGGTAGGTTGCTAAAAATGTAATACCTTTACCCTTTGAATTTATGTATTTATTGTAGTGATAAATTTTATCCAACTAGATAAGGCCTTGAGTTTTTTTGCTGAAGTAGTTTAAACATAAATATACAAGGAAACCCGCGGGAGACCTTATCCCGTAGACAAAACTCTCACGATTTCTGCAGTCTCAATTGACAAAAGATGCTTTGCGAAGTAGGCCACGTTAGGATGATTAAAACATACTATTAACAACTAATCCGACCTGACTCGTCACTAGAACGAAGTTGAATTATGTAGAGATCGCGCAGTAATATGCTCGTAATGTCATTTAAAGCCTAGATCGACTTAGTGAAGGATAGTCAATTCCCTCAATTTGATACAAATGAGCGGTAATACCATAATTGTTATTAAAATATTCCCTCAGTGCCCTTAACGATATATGTTTTCCTAAATAAGCTAAATTTGCTGATACATCGTCTATGCATTGCGTAATCCTTAAAATATATTTACTTTTCTATTGCAACATTGACTTCATTTAGCGATTACATAAGCAAAGTCATTTGTTGAACGAGTATAGATCTTCAGCAAAATTTCTAATCAAGGATCTCTCATCAGAAAAGCAGGATAAAGGCCTTTCTGAGGTAAAACATGGTTGTCAAAGTCGACGGAAAGTTAGAAACAAAATTCGTCGACGGACTAGATGAGAGGCTCCAATGCCCGATCTGCAGAAGCATTTTCGATGAGCCCTGGCAAACGTCATGTGGACATCGCTTTTGTGGAAACTGTCTGGAACTCCTTTTGGGGTATGTATAGAGTCTATTTTTTAACTCTTTTTCGCCGAAAATTAGGTAAGTTGAGAAAAAATTAAATATCTTTACCCTTAAATTAGTGTATTTGTTGTGGTGGTAAAGGTTTCTACCGGCAATTAAGAAGTTTGACGAATAGAAGGAACCCAGCCAACCCAAACTAACATAACATATGTTGTTAAAGAAGCACAAAGCGATCCTAAGGACCTTTATAGATCTAAAATTTCCCTCTCAGCTGCGCTGAGCGCAGAGTATGGAATCATAGTTCGTGACATTTGAGAACCTCGAGTAGCTGGCGGTCACCCAGCTACAGCGTAATGTCAAAAATCTCCCTCGTGGAGGCGAATGGGCCCATTTCCGTGTTGACTTAAATCCGACAACTTTGTTGGCTCAATAAGGAAATGTCAAGCTGATTTCTTTGATTATTTAAATTCCAGAAATGAGTGTTAAATATGTTTCAAATGTTTTCGAATAACCTTAAATGTACTTTATTCCAGATCAGAAAACGCAAGATGTCCGATAGACAACGAGCCACTTTCAAGGGAGCAATCTTTCAGGGATAAATGCTGTGAAAGAGAAGTTCTTGGTGTGCAGTGTTTCTGCCGATTTAATGACAAAGGATGTGAATGGAAAGGAGAGCTCAGACAACTGGAGGTATTAAGCGTACCGAACTGCCTAAGCAATGAGTGTCTCAATATAGATCTTCCTGCCTTCGAGATTTTCTTTTTATGACTAGCCTGAGGTTTGGAATCTACCGATTTCAGGTGATGATATCAGAGCTTTATCCTAGTGAGATAAATCTCGCCATCGAAAGAGAAAACAACTGCCAGAAGATTCTACCAAACAAAGCAACCCAGACTAGTCACGCATGCTAATATGTTGCGAAATCGACACGATCACGGTCTCGGCTGAAGTATTACGCAAAGGTCACACGTAACTTCAAAACTAAGGAGTTAGATTTCAAGCGGTAAATCTATGATATTCATATGCAAACAGTAACGTGACCTCGCCAAAAATCTAAAGGTGTAATAGCCTGCAGGCAAGTGACTGTGAACCAGCGGGGAAAATAAAAAAAACCATCAGGAGGCACAGAAGTCAACAGTTCTTCAATGTTCCACACTCTTTGTTTTAACAGTTACACAATTTTAGCTGTCAGTACGGTGATGTGAAATGTCAAGCCTGTGATGAAACTGTGGAGAGAAGATACCTCAATATGCACAGGAATCGTGATTGTATCAACAGGGATGAGGCATGTACTTACTGTGGTGGTGAAGTTCGGCATAGCAAAATGAAGGTACAATTATTAACTCCGTGGAAAAGACAAAACATAAGCAAATGCAAAATCACCATATCTAATTAACTAATGGATTAGCTCTGACACGCTGCTAGACGTTTGTCGATACTCACACAAGGTCCGATACACAACTATTTACTTTGATAACAAACTGTCAGATTCGGGTCTATTTACCATTGTCATTCTCGCACTTCACTTCGGTTATTTCACTGGACAATACACCTACATCTATCAGCGTAGTGAAGCGTGACATGACTGCTGCAAAACAGTTCAATTTCGTATGGAAGTAGCTACATTAACGATCTCGTATTAAAGCTCAACTTGAACTCAACTTGTATTTTATGTCTTTTAAAGGAACATTTGAATGTCTGCCTTAAGTTTCCAATCGGCTGCATCTTAAACTGTGGTGAAGAATGTATTCCAAGAGACATGATGGAGGAACACTTGACCGCACGTTGTCTTAAGGCAGAACATATGTGTCCTTTCAGTGTTCATGGTTGTGCATTTCAGGTTAGTGGATAAATTCGTCTATTTGGTCTATCTTGTTGGAGATATTTTGCAAATGAGATACTGAAAAAAAAAAGGGGTAGGAGTTTCTAAAAGATACAGTGAGCCAAAATTTGTACTTTACCAAGGCAAAAAGGATTTATTATTATTATTGAGTGAAAAAAAACATTGAATAGTAAAAAAGGGGAAACTATGGTCTGTTGGGAAAGGAAATAATCCTAAAATTTAAGAGCAAACAAGGGTCTACGAGCAGAAACAAACATCGAAAATGAAGATAAACATCAACATATGTGAGTTAAATTCTCAAAATCATAATCGCAAAGATACTGAGACGATTGTAATAATCTAAATTGACCGAATCTGATTATCGGATGATTTGTGGGACAAAAAATAAAAATTATTTATACACTCTCTACAGGGCACTAAACAAATAATCGATCAACACGTTGCCGACGGTATTGAGTCTCACTTGGAAATGATGAACCTCTCCAGTCATAAATGTGCCGAGATAACAAAACAAATGGAAGAGAAGATATGTCGTCTAGAAAAAGAAAAAAGTGCTTTGGAAAAGCAACTTCAAAATCAAGCAGAACAGGCAGCAGCTGCAAGACAAAACATACAAACGCAACAGACAAAATTGTCCCACGTAGAAAATTCCATTCTCGAACTAAAGAGGACAGCTGAGAAACTGCTTGCTGATTTGAGAGTTTTTGAGGCATCTAGAACAATAGAGGGTTTTGTCTCGTCTCAGATGGAAGAAATAATGAAAACGCTGCGAGAGCATGAGAAGGAGGTGAACAGTCTTCAGGGTGAAGTGGCCCGTTTGAAGTTATCCCCCGCCACGCCGAAAGGTGCGAGTGATTACCAACCAAACCAAGGTGTGGGTCTCGCAAGTGAGTATGAGCGCCGACTAGACAGGAATGAGCACCAACTGGCATTACACGACATTCAACTGTCCGATCAAGATATGCAGATTCAAATGCTGGAAGCTACGTCGTATAATGGTACCTACATATGGAAAATCGACCGCTACAGCCTTCGCTTCCAAGAGGCTGTTGCTGGAAAGACTCTATCTATTTACAGTCCTCCTTTCTATGTAGGTCGATTTGGGTATAAAGTTTGTGCTCGTCTTTACCCCAATGGAGACGGAATTGGAAACGGAACGCATATGTCAATATTCTTTGTTGTCATGAGGGGTGAATACGATGCTTTATTACCTTGGCCGTTTCTCCAAAAAGTCCACTTTCGACTAATAGACCAAGACAGGATCCGGGACGTAAATGATGCGTTTCGCCCTGAGCCTAACAGCTCAAGCTTTAAAAGACCCACATCAGACATGAACATAGCATCTGGCTGCCCGACTTTCATTTCTCATATGGAACTGAGACAAGGTGGCTATATCCGGAACGATACTATGTATATGAAAATAAAAGTTGATACCTGTGGTCTGCGAGGAGATGCGTGGCAATAAGATGTCTGCCTGATGTAGCATTCCATTTCTACTAGAGAGTCTGGACTAAGCAAAATCCCGGAAAATTATTATTTGAATTGTGAGGAGGGTGTTTCCACAATAACCAACCTATTTACGTCGTAAGTTTGATTAAGTTCTCTAAATCTTGTGCAAGGTTTGCACTACGTGGTTTGTTGCTTTTCGACTCTTCTTAGAATTTTGTTCTCTCAACTCTCAGATACCAGGCTCACGTGACATCTATTATGTATTTTGGTATGTTTTAGTTGACCATCACATAACTTTGCCTTTTAAAAGGTAAGGAAAGTACATTTCAGCTTCAAGTTGGAAACTTTCGGTACGTTCGACGACGAATGCAAAATGTTCAAATATAGGATATTTATTTTTAATGGTTTCTAACATATTTAGCATCTTGTAACTCTTTTACAAACCTAACTTTTAAAATAAGGATGTTTAGTTCATTGTTGAACGTGTGGTTGAAAACTTTAATTTAGTTCAATGAACGAATAAGCATAGCTCAGGCAAGTCCAAAAATAGCTAGAAAAAATAAGATATTTAAAAATGAATTCCTAAGACACAAGACAGTGTATTAAAATACAGAAACAAAATTGAAAAAAACAGAGTAAATTATTTTTACCTTGAAATATTTAAAACATTATTGATCGCGACAGAAGCCAAAATGACATATTTTCGAATGGGGAAATGAGGGATTATCCAATTTCAAACCATTTGCATCGACGAAGAAGGTCGAAATTTCAGAAAGAATACATAATGTAGAGATATAAAAGCTTGCTCTTTTTAGGAAAAAAATATTTTAATTAAGACATCAAATTGGTCTCAAAAAAATAATTTTTTAACTTTGAACAACATATGTTAATGTAGCTCTGGCAGAAGCAAATATAGCATTATTTATAAATTCATATGGGATGCTGGTGATAAGTGCTGAAATACAAATAAATCATTTTTGGAGAACTTTATGTTTTCATTTTAGGCTGTTCCATTCACTTTCCCATGACATTTTTAATTAGAGTACCTCTCTGACCCGAAAGAAACACCCAATACTTACTTTCAACAAAGTTGATCCGGTTTTTCTGAAACTCACGAATTTTTTCTAAGGCATTAAAAGTTGATGTAAATAGCCTGCGGACTATATGGTTTCAATCCCTCCAACGTGTATTGTGGATGTGTCTTAGTGTCTAGTCTATGTTGCCTTGAAGCGGATCCTGTGTGAACTATGCATGCAGCCCCAAGGAAGGCTTCGTAGTTCCTTTCTTCGTCCCGTACAAAATAGATTTATCTAGTTCCAGTAAGTTAACAGACTAACTAAGCTAACCTTATGTAATATCCCCCCATCACAAGACGTCAGGAGCATGCAGTCGATGTAGTTAGTAGTGTTAGTAGTAGCACTAGAAATAATGATGTGTTTATCAAGAACATTTCATCCCGTCACTCATCTATTATGCAATACTACTAACATAGTTCTCAAGTAAGCTTCTGGAATGTTCCAGGACACTTTGTGAAGACCACTTATGTAATAGTAAGTAGTAGTTATTTTTGTCGGAGCGATGACTGTTTTGAAAGCTATATCGAGAGAGAGTTATTGCGGAAGGTCGCTTATTTCAAGGAACTTTGGAGGTAGCAGTGAAATTGCTTCAGTAGTAAGCTGGGTTATAGACTGTGGTGAGCTTAATTAAGTTTATTTGCGATAAGTATTGTACTGCTTGAGGAGCCCATTACTTAAAGCGTTCAGGCATAAAGGCATTTTCATAGAACGGTTTATTTTTATACTAGCGGGAAATAGGCTACTCGAGCTCACTCATGTAATACGATCCATGAAACGCGAAGGAAAACATGGCGGCCTTATGCGCCGACGTCTTCATATCAAAACTACGCCATTCCGCCTTTCTTCTGCTGTATTCCAGTATTCCAGTCTTTCCTTTCCTTACCTTACATGTCCCACCATCGTTTGCAAATTTTTCATATTTGCGAAAAAAATTAGCAGGAGTGCGGATCGTCGTTGTATTTTTTTTTTTTCGAATTTTCGTATGTATCAAAGGTTATTCTTTTTCTGATTCTGGCCCCTTAAAGGAAAATTTCAGATTCTCGTCTTGGATTTTTCAAATTTAAGACGATGAAGAGGCACAATCCCAACAATGATGGAGAGCGGGGAAACAAGAAATTACGTGAGCACGCTGTGTGCGAGTCGTCTTCATCTCAAGAATCTTCATCCTGACCGTACTTAACGGACATTTTGCGACGCAGGATTGAACAGAAGCAGGTGCAACAAAATGAGGGGCGTTTTTCCAGATCGTAAGAAAATGATAATCTTTCGAATTGGGCTTCGATCTTGTCAAGTCTTGGTTATTTTTGTGTAGTGCGGTCGATAATGGAGATTGCTTTATTGCCGCATGCGGCCGAATTCACGGTGCCTATTGTCGCTCTGATCATTGAATAGCTAAGGGTCAGGTTAATCTTCACTAAAACTTTCCTCGGAACCGCTACTTTCCGAGTTATTTTCAAAATCTGCACACCACAAGCGTCCCAAGCTCACGTCTCGAGAAAATGCAAACGATTAACTCATGAAAGCGTCACGCGTTGTGTAACTCGGTGTTGTTATTCCTGTTATACGACAGCGGTCGAAATCGAAGTGTGCAGCTTTGACCTGGTCTTCTAACAGGAGTGACAGTGATGGCAAAGTAAGCTTGAATAGACAAAGAACACTGGAAACCACAAGGGACACAGGAGATGTGAGTAAGTTCTATTGATTTTACGTGTATTATGTTCATATTTCGACATATTTATCGTTGTAAATCGACGATATTTCGTTACCCACACTATTCCTTATAACGTGTTCAAATTCTCAACGGTTCCTTTCGTAAGTTCCTTGTTGCTGGTTCCCTTGAGGCGCCGGACATGGCGGCCACGTTTTCTAGCGCTCTGATATTTTTAATATATTTCTATCTTTATCATATTTAAGATGATGCTATTCATTTTCCAGCGGATTCTGATGCTTTTAGTTTCTCGAATATCGGGTACACGACGCTCCTCGGAAAGGAAAACAGAGCTTCCACACCTTTATTGGTATCAAGCGGGCTGGCTCCAGCAAAAGTAACTTTGTCTCGGTCAGGACTCGGTCGGACTAGGGTTGCGAGATGGACGAAACGTGGCGCTAGATATAACGATTTATATGGATGCAGAAAGTAAACCTGGACTAGGAGATATTATGAGGGAGAGCACAGATCAAATAGATGAACCGAATTGGCAAGTGAGCAATACGAGTAAAACAACATACTCCCGAGTTTGTTTGCTAAATATCCGTCGCCCCTCAGTTTCAATCCTTTAAGTTGCTCGGCATATTAAGATATAGAGGATCTAGAGGAGGCTGTCGACGAAGGACTCCGGTCAGGATTTCTAACAAAAGAGATGAAACCAGTGGATTGGAACGTCGATTGCCGTCCTGTAAATAACATGGCTAAAGCAAACCTTGTCTCTATCGCTAGACAAGTGGATCTAACGACTAACAAATCCAGCTCAGAATTCGCGGTACCCAAATTTTTATTTACAAATATTTGC